AGGGGGGGGGGGGGGGGGGTTAGAGAGATGTGACACATCCATGTACAAAGAGGTGGGGGTAGGGTTCCCAGCATTCCTTGCTAGTGCGCAAGGGGCTAGGCTACTCATGCCTGGGGAGTGGGGAGAGGTCAGCCATAGTCCCAGCATGTCCTGGTGCTGGAGAGGAGCACCCCAAGGTGTTGGAGCCTGGGAAGGGTTGGTCAGCTGAGGCTGGGAGGAAGTCTTGGCTGATCTCCCAGTATGCCTTGGGGTGGGGGTGAGAGCTTACCCACAGTCCTAGGATGCCTTTGGGGGGAAAGAAGGTTTCTAGGATGCTAGGGAGAAAAGGTCAGCCACAGGCCCAAGGGGGTGAGAGCATTAGCCATAATCCCAGGATGCCATGGAAGGGTGTGAGAGAAAAACACCCCTCAGCAGTCTAGGATGCTCTCCCAGTATGCCTTGGGGCTGAGGGGGCCTCAGAAGTCATCGTCATCACAGAGGTCCAGGTAGACGTCAAAGGCCTCGCGGTTGCAGCTGCCATCAGGTGTGAAGACGAACTTGTGGAAGGTGCCATCAATGCAGATTGCTGAGGGAGCATGAAGGGGGGGGTGGTCAGGAGCTCCCCCTGTCCCATCAGGCACAGAGGTCTTGCTTCCAGCCCCATACCCCTGCACCCAGCCCCATATCCCTTCCTCCAAGCCCACAGCCCCAATACTTCCCCCCAGCCCCAGCACCACAGCCCCTGATACCATGATGACAGCCATGCCCCCTACCAATCCCCGCAGCCCCAAGTCTTGTTAGCCCCATCTGCTTTGTTCTAGCCATTCCCCCTTCCTTGTAACTACACCTTGACTCCCCCTAGCCCCCCCATTTGTCCTGTAGCTCTGCCCCTCTGCTCCCTAGCCCCACCCTCCCTCCCTCCCTCCAATGACTGACCGATGACTGAGTGGGCGGCGGGGGCCCCACGGCCGAAAGCACAGAGGCAGGCTGCCTCAGCTGGCACTGTGAAGCTGGCCAGGCTCCACTGTGAGTCCACGTAGGGGCCCAGCACCGGGCCTACCTTGCCCACCCGTGCCAGCCTGCAGGGCCAAACAAGAGCAGGGAAGCAATTATTATACTGTCCTCTCCCCGTCAGAAGCCCAGACCAGGGGGCAGCACCATGCACTGGAAAGGGTTAATGGTGGGAGGGAATGGGGCTACAGGGCAGATGCGGGGTAAAGGGAAAAGAGCAGGACTAGGGAGAATGGGGTCAGGTCTACCTGCCAGCATTAGGGGAAAATGGGTGGAGATACCGTGAAGGGGCAGAGCTAGGAAGAATGGGGGTGAAGCTGTTGGAGTCAGTGATGGGGCTATGGGAAGCAGTGGGCTGTGGTGGGGCAGTTGCTAAAGGACAGGTGGGGGATAGAGATGAAGAGGGTGGGGCTATGAGGTAAGGCCAGGGCTAGGGAGAATGTGGGTGGGCTACTGCGAGAACAGGTGGCATTATGGGAAGGAGAGGAGGTGGGGACAGGGTTGAATGGGTGGGGCTCAATGGCAGGGGATGGAGCCCAAGGCTAGGAAGAATGGGTGGGAGGGGCTATTAGGGGAGGTGATGGGGCGATGGAAAGGAGAGGGAAGGGTTGGAGGCAGAATCAGTGGGGTTGCTCTGCCTGGCATCAGTCACTGATGTCATGGGCAAGGGGTGGGACTGTGAGGAAGAGGCAAAGCTACAGGGCACCCCCACCAGTTTGGAGGCCTGAGCTACATGCACAGAGGGAGCAGGGCAGTGGTCTTCCCACCAGCAGTGCCCTGGGGGGCCTAAAGGTGTAGAGGATGGGGCTTTATTTGGGGGGGGTGCTGTTCCACCTCAGCACCAGCTGCAATTGGCATTATAATATAGTACACTCCGAGCTGGGTGCAATCAGTGTTATACTGGGCTGTTCACCCCCAGAGCTGCCTGCAGTGTGTTATTATGAACTGTTCCACCCCAGAACCAACCACAACCAGTATTATACAGGGCAGTGCCACCTCTGGAACTAGTTGCAACGAACTGTTATCCTGGAGCATTCCACCCCCAGAACCAGCTGCAACCATTATACTGAGCCATTCACTCCCAGAACTGGCTGCAACTGGAGTTACACCGGGCCATTCCACCCCAGAACCAACAGGAAGCAGTGGTTATACAGAGCTGTTCCACCTGAGTTTACTGAAACTGGTGTTATACTAGGCTATAAACTCCCCACACCAGCCATAACCAGTTTTATATGGGACTGTTCTACCCCAGACCTGGCTGCAACCAGAAATACACTATATTTGCCCCTAAAACTAGCTGCAACTGCTGTTACACTAGGCTGTTCCACTCCAGACCTGGTTTCAGCCACTGTTCTACCAAGCTGTTCCACCCCAGAATCAGCCACAACCAGTGTTATACTTGGCTGTTTATTTTGTTCTGCCCCAGAGCCAGCTGCCCCATAGACTGCAGGGCATTGGGGGCACCCGGAGGGGGCAGTACCCACGCGGAGCGGCGGTTGAGGCGGGTGTCACGGAGAGCAAAGACATGGACGGTGCCTTTGTCACTCGAGGCACAGAGGAAAGAAGAGTCAGGGCTGAAGTTGATGCTGTAGGAGATGACGGAAGAGGGGTTAGAGGGGCTGTGAGCTTCCTCCTAACACACTGTCCTGAAAGTGTGAGCTTCCCCCCAGCAGTGCCCCCAAGCCACGAGCTTCCTCCCAGGAGTGGGATTCCTTCCCAGAGGCTCCAAGCTTGCCCCTAACAGTGCCTTAAGGTTCTGAGCTCTACCCCAACAGTGTCCCAAGGCTGTGAGCTTTCACCCCAACAGTGCTCTCACCAGTAGAGAGTGGCAGGGTCAGTGCCCCGGCGTAGCTCCACCAGCTTGTCACGGCTCTGGGTGTCAAAGAGGCGAATGAGGGTGCCCTTGCGGGAAGCCGAGGCCACCACGGTGCCTGGAGGGTTCAGGGCCACACAGGCCACATCACTCTGGTGGGCATTGATGGTGAATGGGGCTGATGACGTGCCTGGCTTTGTGCTGGACAAGTCCTGGGGAAGGCAGGGGAGGAAGGTTGGGGTTTGAGGATGGGTTCTGGACCCCATGTTCTAGCTCTATGTCTCCCCACCCCCTGGTATCCCCCTTCCCTGGCACCCTGGAAGCCTGGCCTCTCAACTCCCCATTATACCCCTTTGCCCCCCAATAGTCCCCCAGAGTCCTTCCCACACTCTAGCCCCCAAACCCTGGCCCTTGCCTCTCCCATCCCCCTTTATGCCACCTTGCCACCAGATTTGACCTCCTCAAAACTCAGCCCCCCACTCCCCATTTAGCCTCAAATCCAAGCACCACCCACCCCTCTATTATACCCCTCTAACCCCACCCCTCTCCCATCAGCCCCTCTGTAGCCCCTAATCTTGGCCCCTGCCCCCCAAAATCCAGGCCTCTGAACCTGTCCATTATACCCTTTTTGCCCCACCATCCTGCCCAGATTTGCACCCCCAAAAAGCTGGCACCCCTCAAAGGCCCTCCCCCAAGGCCTACTCTGCAAAAGCCAGGACCTCCCTTGCTCCTCCCCCCAGTTGCAGCCCCACAAATCCAGGCCCCTTCTGCCCACACTCTGAGCCCCTGCTATACTAGCAGCTCTCCCAGACCTGCCTCCAAAAGCTGGACCCCCTCAGAGCCCCAGTTCCAGGCCCTGGAATGGACCATCCCAGTTCCCTCACCCCCATCCCAGTGCCCCCTCAATTGCCCTGACCCACTCCCCCTCCTTAGCCACACCCCCAGTCCCTGGGTCACAACTGGTGATCCCACCCCAGCCCCTGTTGAGTGGTCCTTCACAGACCTGCCTACCCATCCCTAAGCCCTGTCCACTCACCACCAGCTGGAGGCTCCCACATTTGTGTCCAGGGAAGACCAGAAGCTGCTTCTCCACACTGGGGCAAAGATCGCAGAGCCCTGAAGGGCAGGGGAGAAGATGCCCTGAAGTCTGGGATCACAGTACTACAGCGGATGGGGCAGTAAGGGGGCCCAGACACCCGGCTATCTAGCAGGCCTGGGGGCCCCAGATGCCTGAGTTCCTGGTACCTCTGCAGCTGGGGGTGAAGGAGGACCTAGATGCTTGGGGCTGAGGGCCCAGGCACCTGGGTTCCCAGTACCACTGGGCCTTGGGGGGTAGGCAGGGCATCGACACCTGGGTTCCTGGTATTGCTAGGGACTGAGATGGGGACCCACACACCTGGCTGAGGGGTCAAACACCTGGGCAAATGAACTGTGGGAGCTGGGGAGGCCCGGACGCCTGGATCCTGTACCTCGGGGGTTATCGCGGGTGTCAAACTCGAAGAGCTTGCATGGGTTCTCAGGAAATGAATACACATAGATGCGGCTCTGCAGCACAATCACGATCCTGGGTGGGGGGGAAAGAACAGCACCCAGACACCTGGGTTCTCTCTGGCCTCTTGGGCTGTAGAGGGGTTAAGCTGGGATGCCCAGACACCTAGGTTCCTTGCCCCAGGAGGTGGGGGATGGGAAGCCTGGACACATGGGTTCCCTCCTGGCTCCAACATAATTGGGAGTTGAGAAAAGGGACCTGGACATTTGGGTTCTTTCCCTCCCGCCCAGCTCTGGGGTCATGAGGGGAGGTCAAGCCAAGAAGTCTGGATGCCTGGGTCCTCAACCTAGTGTTCACCTTCTTCTGTCACTCCAGGGTTCTGCCCAGATGCAGGGGAGGCTGTGAGCCCAGATTCTTGGGTTCTTTGGAAGGGGAGTGGGGACTGGGGCGGGGGGCAGGACCTGGACAGCTGGGTCCCCCGTCCACTCACTTGTCATGCCGCATCCGCATGGCCAGGACAGGCTTGGTGAAGGTGAACTCCAGAACCAGCTTGTCCTTCCCTTCACGGGCATCGTCCCAGATTAGCACTGGTGGGGGAGATGGGGAGAGGGGTGGTGAGAAACACTCGCCTCCCCTCCCAAATCCCCCACCCACATCTCCAGAGCACAGAGAGAACCCAGGTGTCTGGGGCCTCCACCCCCATCCAAGTGTACCCAAGCATCCAAGCTCCCAGCACCCCCTGCTCTCACCCCCATTTCCACTCCTCTGCCAGAGGACCCAGGTGTCTGGGCTCCCAGCCCCACCCCCACTCTCACCCCACAGTATCCCCCTCCTCTCCCAGGGAACACAGGCATGCAGGGGCACCTGAGATGTCAGAGAATTTGGGGTTGGAACCGCCCCCAACCAATGCCAGCAGGTTGCTCCGATGCAGCATCTCCACGTGGCCCACACTGCCTACCTGCTCGTGGTCTGGGAGGTGGAGGGGGAGAGTGAGGAGGGATCCAGGCATCTGGGAGCCCCTCTCCACTCCCATGCTCTCTTCCCCCAGCCCCCACTGCCCTCCTGGAAAACCCAAGTATCTAGGCTCCCACCCCCCTGCTCTCACCCACCATCCCCAGCTCCCTTCCCAGAGAACCCATGGGCCCAGAACCCCTTATCCCCACCCTGCAATCCTTTCCAGCACCCTCCTTGTCCCAACCCCAGAGAGCCCAGGCATACATGCTTTCAAAGAACCCAGGTGTCCAGGCTCCCAGGCCTCTCCTCACCCCTGCAAAGGGACCCACATGTCCAGGCTCCCAGCCTGCCCCCTTGACTCTTACCCCTCCAGACTCATCTCCCCCAGGGACCCCAGGCATCCAGGATCCCCCTGCTTCTGCCATCCCCTGGGAAATGCATTCAGGCTCTCCCCATATCCCCCTCCCACAGCGAACCAAGCATCTAGGCTCCCAGTGCCCCCACCCTCCACCTCCCCCCTCTTCCCCCAAAGGGACCCCACACATCAACCCCCCTACCTCTCCCATGCTCACCCAGGTGCCCCTTCTCCATCAGTGGCTCCACATTGTAGATCCGGACCCCGGACTCCATTGCACAGCAAAAGCAGCCTGAAATAAGAGCCCCGGACACCTAGGTTTCCCGTCTGGACAACTGGGTCCCCTCCCTACTCTGGAGGTGGGGGCATAAGAGCTGGACCAGCAGGAGTCTGGATGCCTGGGGACCCTGCCCAGGGTTCCCTCCCTGTTTGGGAGGGGGTCTGGGGCTGGTGCAAGGGGGATCTGGACACCTGGGTTTCCTCCCCGCTCTAAGGCAGTGGGGCTGGAGTTCAGGGAGCCTGAATGTCTGGGTTCCCTCCCTGCTCTTGGGGGAGGGGTGAAGGTGCTGGAGCCTGGGTTCCCTGCTTGGAATCTGGGTTCCTTCTCCGCTCAGAAGGGGGTTGAAGGGACTGCAGTAAGGGAAGCCTGGTCACCTGGGTTTTCCGGAAGGAGAGGGGAGGAGAGGCTGAGGAGTGAGAGTAACGGGGGTTTGGAGCCCAGATGTCTGGGTTCTCTGGGAGTGCAGAGGGAGGGGTGCAAGATGCCTGGGTCTCTCACTTACTCTGGTCCTGGTTGAAGCGCAGACTGTTAACACCACGCTCCTGGGCCATGACGGTGCTGGGGTGCGGGAAGGCTGGGGGTCTGCAAGGGAGAGGAAGGGAGGTGAGGGTCTCAGTGGCCAGGCAGAGCTCCCCCATTTCCCCTCAATCCCCAAATGCCCCACTCCCTGCCCCCTGGAGCCCCCTAGTCCCTCCTCAATCCCACAATGCCCCCCCCAGCCCCACTCCCTGTTCCCTCACACCGTCAATCCCATAATATCCCACCCCCTGGCACTCCAATCTCCCTCAATCCCACAAGGCCCCACTCCCCCTCATCTCCCACAATACCCCACTCCTTACCTTCCTGGCACCCCCTCAATTCCTGTGCCCCCTTCCCTGCCTTCACTTCCACCGCGGACCCCCAAGACCTCAGGCCCAGAATGCCCCGTTCAGTTGCCCCTGCCTCCTCTTTTCTACCCCGCAGGGAGCAGCTAAAATGTAAACACAGCCTGGGCAGCTGAGCCGGGATCATCGAGTTGGAAGCTGAGCGAGAGCGATGCCGGGTCACATGACCGACAGAGGTAGAGATGATTGTTACAGTGAAGCCGAGGTAGCCATCTTGGAAGCTGGAATTACAGAAGGGACCTGCTGTGTCCACCATCTTGGGAATTGGCACTGAGGAGGGGCAAGCCTGCCTACCCGCCACTAAGAAAAGGGCAAATCTTCTATGGCCGCCATCTTAAGAACTGGCAAGAGGCTCTGCTACCCCCGTCGCCCATCTGGGAAACTGGAAGGGGAATTTCACTGCCCTCTGGAGGAGCTAAGGAGGTATATGGAGGGTCTGGGTCCTTCCCCCACACACTCCCCGGTTCTCTTCCTATTCTGCAATGTGGAAAGGGCCCAGACACCTGGTTGGCATTTAGGCTTTGGGGAGTGGGGTTGATAACAGGAACTGATAGCCCAGGCCCCTAGGTTCTCAGGGTCTTCATTCCCCCCCACAACCAGCAAGAGACAAGGTAGACACCACAAAAGGCAAAAAATAACATCTTTATTTACACTTTGTATACATCTCCATAGTAACTGACAGCCAGGGTAACCAGTGGGTAAAGTTCTGATGGCCATCTTGGAAGCTGACATTTCACATTTCCCCAAACCTGGCACAGGTCTCCTTAGAAGAATTCCCTACCCCCAAACACAAGGTTTGCCCCCAGAAGCAAGCTCTGGCCCCCTGCCCATTGCAGGTGGGGCTAAGGCCTGGGAGCAGGGGCACTAGCAGCCTCCTTTTCAGCCTCGTTGAACTGGCTGGTCCAGAATTGAGGGTCTTTGTTCTGGATCTGGAGGGGGTAAAAAAAATCAACAGGTGCTCTGCCACTGGATTTCAGCCCTTTCCCCTCCACTAAGCCCCACCCTCAGCCAAACCTCACTAATCTGGCACTACTAATCCCTACTTCTTCTCCCCTGGAATAGGCCTCACCCATAAATCTAGCCTGTCTTCCCAAAACTGCAGTACAAACCCTGCCAGTCTGGCACTAGCCCCTCCTCTTCCAGAAGCCCTACTACAAGCCGTGCCCCCTAAAGGCACAAACTGTCCCCTGCCTTCTCCCAGCTCTCACCCCAGGGATATCCAAATCTTTTATTTTGGAGTCCCACCCCTCCAGTGGGCCACTTACCTTGGCAACAAACTGGAGGATGTGCCTCTTGGAGGTCTCCTTGGTGGCTCGCCCTCCCCACTGCAACTTGAACTCGGTGGGATCCGTATGGGGGATAGGAAGGTACTCCAGGTACCTGCCAGCAGGGGGCAGGGCTAGCCTTCTGAAGCCATGCCAACCAGTCCCATTCTCCACTTCCCCCCCATCCCCAGGCAGCTCTATTTCCCCCTGCAAAATCTCCCCCCACCTGCAATGAGCAGGATACCTGTGCCTCACTTTCCCCCCCTCCTTCCCCGCACCCCACCCCCCCCCCCCCCCCCCATCCACCCTCACCCATGGATGCTACTGTTACTTAGGCCAGGCACAGATATTACAATTTTACCAGGATCCCCTGCCCCCCCCCCCCCAGCCTAGCCACAGCCCAACAAGCACAATGCCTAGGTTTTTCTGCCCCCACATGCCTCAATTTCCCCCAATGTCATTCCCCACTACCTTGGGACAAGAAGAGTGCCTGTTTCTCGTCTTTTTTCCCCCTCCCCCCCCCCCCCCCCCATCTCAGATGAGCAGGATGCCTGGGTTCCACACACCCACCTCCCTGTGCCTCAGTTTCCCCCATGTCATTTGAAGGTGTGGGAAGACACAGGGGCTGAGGGGAAGGGGATGGTAGGTAGGGGTTGTCTGGTTCCCCTTGGCACAAGCTGCCAAGCCTAGGGTCAGCCTGGGGTGGTGGGGCACCAGGTTTCTCTGCGGTGTGGTATAAACAACCTGGGATGGGCCTTGGCCCTGGCTGCTCTGAACACACCTGGGATGGGAGGGGCAGGGGGGAAGGGGAATGGAAAGGACCCAGGCATCAAAGGCTCCCAGCACCCCCTGTCCTAGCCTCCAAAACCCAACTCCCTTTCCAAAAACTCCAAGCATCCAGACTCCCAGCAGCCCCTATAAAGAAACCAGCCCTCACTCCCCTTCCAGAGAACCCAGGCATCTGGCTCCCACCCTTCCTCCTTCCCAGAAATCCAGGCCTCACTTCTGCCGCACAAACTCCTCAGTCACCAACTTCTTCACATCCCCGAAAACCTCATGTCTCTCCCTGTGTGGGGTAGGAAGGGATAAATGGGGCCACGGCTTCAGAGGGGAGAAACCTCACCCCTTTGCTTTGAGGGGGTGGAGTCTCCAGTGAGGGTTAACCCTTTCCTACCCAGGATCCACGCGTAGCCTCCGGAGCATCTCCCACACTGCCACTGGAAGGAAAGAAGGCAAAGTCAGAGGGAGTGTGGCCACTGAGAAGTGAGCAAGGCACAGGGAAGAGGGCGGGGTTTACCTTCTTTGACAGAGTTGCCCTTCATAAAAATGAAGCTGAGGATGATGGCGAGGAGGCCCAGCTTGGCTGTGCGGTCATCCCTGGGGGAAGGGAATGAGCCCAAGAATCTGGCCCTCCTGCTCTTGCCCACTAGCCCCCCTCCTTTCCCACAACTGGAAAGAATCCAGGCATCTGGGCTCCCAGCACCTCCTGCTTTCTTTCAGTCATCAACCCCCATCCCCCAAGCTCGGATGGGACCCAAGCACCCTGGCTCCCAGCACTCCCCGCTCTAACCCTCTTATCACCCCCCTTTCTTGATGTGGGATGGGAATCTGGGTTCCCTGCCTGCTTGGGGAGTGGGTTTGGTGGGTAGAGCCCAGATCCCTGTGTTCTTACTCAACCCCTCTCCCCTTCCCAGGCAAGGAGGGGACTCAAGTGTCCAGGCTCCCAGATCTGTGGGGAAGGACAGCAGAGTGAAGGAAGGTCCTGGACACCTGGCTTCTAACCCACACCCCCTTCCATCACTGAGCAGGACGGGAACCCAGGCGCCTGGGTTTCTGGATCCAGAGGAAACAGGCTATCCCACCTCTGGACTCCTAGGTCCCCAGCTTGGGGGAATGAGGGGGAAGGTTCTGGATGCCTGGGTCCCTCACCCCACCCCCCACTCACTGCTTGAAGCTGTCCCCAGGCAGGCGAGGGAGGGTGCTGACCAGTATGTACATGTGGGGCTTGGTATCCATCTCCTTCAGCTCCAGCCCAAAAACCTGCAGAGTTGAGGGGTGTGGGGTTAGCCTGGATGCCTGGGGGCAGGCAGAGGGCTCTTCCCCCAAGCACTAAGAGATCACAGCAGGAAATAGGGGGAGCCCCAGACACCCGGGCTCACTTCCAGTTTCAGGGGGGGGAGGGCAGGAGCCTGGATGCCTGGGGTCTTTCCCCAAGTGCTTAAAGGTCAGAGCAGGGAACCCTGAACACCTGGGTTCTATCCCCAGGCTATGGGGAGTGGGTGGGGTGGGGTGGGGTGGGGTCAGAGCAGAAGGAAAAGGGAACCTGGACACCTGGGTTCTCTGGGAGGGGAGTGAAGTCTGGTGAGTTGGAGCAGAGGGGACTGGGAGCCTCAATACCTGGCTTCCCTAGGAGGGAAGTGGGAGCTAGGAGGTGAGTGGGGATGGGGAGGGGGGCTGGGATCCCAGATGCCCGAGTTCCTGCTGGGTTCTGAGAGGGCATGTAGGGGACTGGGACAAAGACAGGAAGCCCTGATGCCTGGGGTCTCTGGGGGTGTATGTAGAAGGAGGGTGTTGGGGATGGCTAGGCTGGGGGCCTGGACACTTGGGTTCTTGCTGGGCTCTGAGGAAAGTATGTGGCAGGGGAGCCAGATGCCTGGATTCTTGCGGAGGGGTGGAAATCACCTTCTGGAGGGTCCAGCCTGCACGATTGACGATCTCTGGATAGACATCCCGGTAGTCACCAATCACCTTCTTTGGGGGGGGCGGGAAGCACTGAGATCCTGGATTCTTCGTGAGCTCATGGAGGGGAGAGGGGCTGGTGAGAAATTTGTGACCTGGATGCCCGAGTTCCCTTCTGACTCTGGCTGAGGAGTGGGGGGCTGATGCATTAGAGAGGTGGGGGCTGGGGGCTCAGATGCCTGGGTTCTCCAGGAGGAAAGCAGAGGCTGGGGTGTGAGAGCAGGGAGGGCCTGGGAGCCTAAATGCCTGGGTTATCTGGGAGGACAGTGGCTTCTTGTGTGTTAGAGCAAGGGGCGGGGGGAAATTTAGACCTTGGACACCTGGTGTTCTCAGGGTGGCAAGTGTGGGCTAGGGAGCAAGAGCAGTGAGGGACTGGGAGCCCAGATTCTCTCCCTTACCAGCCCGCTTGATGGGGATTTTCTTCTGATCTTTCACCAACAGGAACTGCACCAGCTCGCTCACCTGGGGGATGAGTGGGGGGAGGAGAGGGATCAGCCAGGCCATAGGGGTCTGCTGCAAACCTCCCCCCACCTTCCGCTCCTGTCCCCCTATTACCTTCTGATCCACCTGCCCTTGCGACCGTCTCTCCAGATTCCTCTGCACCTGGCTGGCCATTTGGCTGGGGGTCAGCACAAAATCCTCGTCCCTGGCATCTGCCTGATACGT